GATGCTATAGGCATCAAAAAGTGGTTAAATTGATTCTCAATTTAACTAAAGTGATATTACTGCGGTAGTGAATATGTATGCGTCAATGCTGAAAATCCATCAGCGTCGCGGGGGGACTACATACGCAGTATATAAATTTCACACAATATAGTAAACATTAACATCTTGTTTTCAAGACTCGATTAGGCTTTACACATTACACTTTCCTCGATTTTTAAATCATACGAGTCAATTATTATTATCTTTCATTAAATAAATTAATAGAATTATGTTGCTCTTATTTTGAATAATTCTCTCTTAATAAAATTTATGCACGTATTTATTACTTGCTTTTTTACATTAATATATTGTTATATAGAATAAATAATGTAAATAAAAAATGTATATAATCACTTACCAAGTTCAAACTATTCTTTTATATCATCTATAAAATATATTATTATCTATCAAATATTTATATTATTATCTATCAAACTATTCTTTATATTAAAGTTCGAACTATTCTTTATAATTTATATTATTCTATTTATCACGGTTAAATACGGAAGTGTCTCGGTGCTAAAATGGCGTGAGACATAATAATAACCTCAAATCATATCATCATATGGTTCTTATAGGTTGCGTAGGCATAAATAGGGCTTCTCTGCGCATGCGTCGGGTGAAATTCGCCGCAGTCTCGAGTGCGGCGAAAAGTTGTAGCTGGGTGTTTTTCTAAACCCATTCTAAACGATCTGGGTGAAACGTCTGGACGAAACATCCGGTCAAATCGAACGCTTTTAGATAACAAGTTGTCGTCCGGGCGTTTATTCTGAACGCACCCCAGTATTACCATTTTAGATTTCTTAAAAACGTCTATTTTAGGATACAATGGACTAAAACTGGACTAAATTAATATATTTTGTTTAGACCACAATCCAGGTAAATTTGCATGCTGGAAGCAAAAAATTCTGAACTCTTATCACTGCAAACAGCAAATTATTGTTGCTTGACGCTTGCCGCTTGTTCTGTGCAGTTTGAATTAAGCTTTAATTTGTTAAATTTTCGCATTACCGGAGATAACAAAAGTAAAACTCCTCGTGTGATCTTAAAAAAATTTTCAATTGGCAAGTCAGCGAAAGCACACGTCGCGAGCAGACTTAAATAACTTTTTACATGAGATAAACATTTTTTAAATGTTTAAATGTAAACATACTTTATACATTGAGTAATGTACGTTTTTAAAACATTTGTACTAAGTCCATAAACATTTGGACCAGATTGAAAATCTGGATGTTCAATGGATGTTCTGTGCTGTCTGGGTATGTTGTTCGTAAAGTAGCACTTGAGGTATTGCCTACTTTTTGCATTTGCTCAAGAAAAATGCCACAGAAGCTTAAGAAATGATTTACTACGCTTTAAGCGAAAGCTCTGTATCGCTCTGTATAGCTCGAGCTGTACAGATCTGTATATAGTACATATAAAAAGTAGTTCCAAAAATTCGTGATGGCAATTTCAATTTTTTTCATCATAGAAATTATCAACTCAAAACAACCACCTTTTTTCCGAAGTGGAATCCGACAGTTGCCTAGCGAAAACGTATGGAAAATGAAAAGGATTACTTTGATAAGGTTAATATTCGTTCTTTTATAATTTATATCAAAACGACCGAGAATTAAGTTGTAGATCTAATAATTACTGTATATTATATTTATTTATTTTGTACACGTATTACACGAATTATTACTATTAATTTAAAATGATTGATGATAATATTGGAATAGGAAACTTCTTCAACTAATAGTTTATTAATTAGACAGAATAGAAAAATACTATATTTTTATGTAAGAATATAAATATGTTCTAAAATATATGATCAACAAAACGTAGTAATAGGTAAAGAATTTATAGTGTGTTATAAAAATAACTAGTACTAATAAAATCTAGACAAGGTAAAAGTAATACGTGTTAAATGGTATTAAGCGCGTAAAAATGGTAATTTTTGTATATATATTTTAAACAAATGAATTGAAGATTTGAAGGACTCTTTTATATAATAATAATTAACACGTTAAATAGGGCGAATAAGAGTCAAATTACAATTTAAAATCTAAATCTGATAATTTATTCTAATATTATATATTGCGAAGAATATCACGTAATGTTTGGCGTTTCGTCCCGGCTTCCACTACTGGACTCATCAGTAAGGTATTGTAGTGGGAGCCTACTTTATACACCTTGGTAAGTTATTAAATCGAGATTCTATATAAAGAGATATACGCGTGTCTTAGCACTTGCGAGAATTTGCGAATATCGGTAGACCTCTGATGGCGAGTCGACGTAGTGATATTCTTCGCAATATTTCTCCAAAGTAGGAAATAACGTTCTATTAATATATATATAATCTGATTTTATAAATGTCCCCTCTCCCTAATTTTTGCGTGCCGAAAGGATTTCGGTCTTGCAACGCAACTCTACATATTTTAAGTAATATTAATATTTTAATATTGTGAGAGACATTTATATGAACTCACCTGATAAATTTATTAAATTTTGTTTGTATTGCTATTTCATCTCCGTCTTGAGGTTTGTATGGTGCTTTCAACAATACTTGCACTAAGTTAGTGATGATCGCATTTCGACGTACCACAACGACAGTCGCTTTACAACAAACAGCAACAATACTCAAAAACATTAGAGTATTAGTAGCAAAATCATCGACATTATTGACAACGAAAATTATATCCATAAATTGAGTTAACATCAAAAAGTATTCCGAAGATATTATAATAAAGGTAAATATATTATACAGTAGCTTGGCACCATTTGATGACCAGTCAACAGGTCGCCATATACCGCCAAGAGTGTACATAAAAAAATTTAGAGCAAGCATTTGCATATTTGAATCGCTTCTTTTCCAAACAATTTATCAAATGTTGTGCAAAAGTAGTTTCTTTCTACATGTAAAGCATCTAAAAAAGTGGTTTTGAAAATTATCTTTTTTGAAATATATTAATTAAATCCTATTATAGTATGTATTATACTTATGTTTAAGAAAGATTGAATTTATGTTATAATTTAGCAGATAGTATAATATATTATAAACTGTAAAATTATAATTTTAGTAAATTCTACAAATTAATATTTAAATCATACATTAAATATCAAATGCGACTGCAATAAATTTCAATCCATTTGCAATAAATTTTATTTAACTTACAAGTTGTGTACAATGATATCGCAGATTACGAATTGAATGACTTTATTTAGTTGGAATATAGTTCATAATTTGTGTGAATATAACTATAAAAGCATAAATATTTATAAATATTTATTGTGTACCTCTTTCAGGAAATTTTATTCCTCAGAATTTTAGCTAGTATTAATGAGAGGATTAACAAATACTAACTGATGTAATATGTTATTTCATTATTATATGATTAAATTTCATTTAAATGTAACCGAGCACATCTCCCGATAGACTACGCATGATATAGATTTGCATTCTTTAACGTCTTGACAACCATCAATTACAGTCATTAAATAATCGACATGTAGTCATTTAATTATTTATTATGGGCCGTATGTTCCTTTCCATCTTCATGAATAATGTAGTAACTGTAATTATAAAAGTTTTTCTATTTCTAATCATTGAGGGATGTCCTCCTTCACGATCATGCACATTGTTTCCTGTTGAATAAAATATTTGTATATTTTCATGTTCATCGGAAGTACAAAGAATATCATATTTTTTGTAAAGCCTCCTACTTTATTACACAAAAATGTAAAACTCATGGCGATAGTGCAGTTTTACAAGTGTGTTTACAAATGAAATTCATAAAGGGTATTGATATTTATATTTTAATATACATATTTAAATTTTATTCGTATTAAGTACAACTATTAATTAAAGTAATTATAGTTTAAGGATAATGGTTAGAGCCATCCCCAATAACATTGACCTTGACTTATATCGTCAAGATCATGATCCTGAGAGATATTAGGGAAATTTTAACCTTCGAAAGTTAATTGTTAAAACATTATGAACAAAAAAGTTTAAGAAATAACGTCTCATTTGTATTATATGAGCCAAGGATCATGACTTCAAAATTGATTGTACTGTTGCACGTTGGTTTTGACTTTTCATGCGAACCGACTCTCACCCCACCTTCCACTGCTTCAGGGCGTACGACTTCGGGTGCAATCCACTAGACGCTTCAAACGTTTCGAAGTGCTTCAGATGTGATCCACTAGACCCTTCGAAGCGTTTTTATAGCAGATACGACGTCATGTATGACGTCATAGATTTTCGCTTCCAGCGTGCTGCAAATGCTTCTGCCGAAGAGGTAGTACGGCTGAAACGATATTTTGAATACACAAAAGCGCGGGAAATAATCAGAAATATCATAATTAACAATAACCTATGTGTTTCGTGATCTCGTTTGGTTTTAACATTTTATATTGAAATTAAAAATAATGCCGATTATACAATTAATAGATGTTGATACCGGAGATATTCATGCTTTAGAACTTTCCGAGGAAGATGCAAGAAAGGCTAATGAAGGTAAGAATGTATATAATATAACCACGTAATGCCACGTTCGTCTCCATATTAACATGAATTATGTCTTCCGCAGCCTAGGAATACGATGGTTACGAGATTTTTTAGCAGGTTATGTTCAATAATAACGCTTCCAACACTTCACGATTGATCCACTTGTGTAGTATTGGCAACGTTAGTAGCGTTAACGGATCACTCTATCGGAAATATTTGTAGCAATAGCGTCTGGAGCGTTTGAAGTGTCTAGTGGATCGCACCCTTCGATAACTGTTCTGTTGCACATAGATTTCGATTTTCTACGCGAAGCGACTCAACCCCTTTCCTTCCATGATTCAGGTTGAATTCATGCTTTTTTCAATATTATGAGTTCCATGTATCCATTACATTACAATTAAATTTCTTTGCAAATATATTTATTACCAAATTAAACTTAATATACCTCCCAGATCAAGAACAAATTGAACTTATACTAGTTGTTAGAAATATATATAACCTTATTATAATAATAATATCGGTATATACGGACAGTTTCGACTTCACAGAGTCCTCCACAGCCGCAACCGAATTCTTAAAATTAATTTAGTATATTGCGAAGAATATCACAAGTTGGCGTTTCGTCCCGGCTTCCACTACTGGACTCATCAGTAAGGTAATGTAGTGGGAGCCTACCTTAGACGCCTGTTTTAATTCTTAAATCGAGATTCTATATATACAGATATGCGCGTATTTCAGCACTTGCGAGAAACTTTACGAATATCCATAGACCTCTGATGGCGAGTCGACGTAGTAATATTCTTCGCAATATTTTTAAGTAATATACGTTGAAAAATTCCCCCAAATCGCGCACCGAACACAGTCGGTCTTTAAAACGCAACTCTAATAATTTGAAATAACATCCCCTTAATTATTTTTCCTGCGCATTGTTAGACCAGCGTACAACAAATTAAATTAAATTAATATTCGCTCAAATTAATTTCCAAATTAAACTTAAAAAAATTAAGAAACTTAAGAAAATTATATTTATTACATATAATTTTCTGTCTCTGTTGTGCAACAATACAACCATGGAAGCCCTGCGCCCCTTTAGCTGTGGGGAGGTGGCGTAATAGTAGCTTCGCGTGAAAAGTCGAAACCCATATACAGTACAATCATTAAAGTCGTACGATCCTTGTGTTATATAGCAGAAACAAGACATTATTTCTTAAAATTTTTTTGTTCATAATTTTTTAATTAGTAACGTCCGACAGTTAAAATTTCTTTAAGAAAATTTGAGGGTAAATCACTCTGGATCATAACCTTGACAACATATGTCAAGATCATTGGGGGTAGCTTCCCTAATTACATGTTTACCATTTTTAATGTGTATATTAGGTGTGTCGGAAAGTTCCGTCCATTTTTATGCAAAAAGTATGACTTTATTTAAGAAACAAAATGAAAACGTACATCAATCAAAGTATTGTCCATATGTTAGTAGTGTTTCACCAAGATCAAGAAGTTCAAGAAATCTTGTCTTGGTTTTGTCTTGAATCAAGACAAGACCAAAACAAGAAGAAGAAAATAATTTCAAGTCAAAACCAAGTAATGTGTTATCAAGACCAAGATTTCTTGACAAGAAGTCAAGAAATTTCTTCAAATTTTTTATGTATAAGGGGATCCTAAAGTAATCTGTATTACGACTAAATCGTATAATTTTTATATAGTAAATACTTTTTTTGTCATTCACAGATTCGGCAATCCTTTCACAGAATTAAAGTATACGCATTAATATGTGCCTGTGAGGTAGAATCTATGCTGAAAACGATAAAAAATTTCAAAATTGAATTCTTCTTTACCATTTTTTAGTCTAATATGGCGCTCCAAAACAGTCACGTCGTTGCACGTCGTAACAACATTTGTTTTATATAAAAGTTGCGCAATCTGTACTTAAGAAATAGTAGTCCGCGGGCATGTAGTTTCCATGAAGAAACAGCGTGGAATTCTTAAAATTAGATTTAGATGTCTAATTAAAACATAATTACGATACAAAAATCTACGTATATGTATGGCGTGCGTGAGTAAGGTATTCATGTAGTGATGTGTTAATGACACATAATCGTCTGTGTGTGTAAGTGCTATTTCCAATATGATTAATTTTCTTTAGGATCCCCTTAATATTTTATGTTTTGTTTTATGTTTTTTGTTTTTCTGTTTTATGTTTGTTTTTATGTTTTATGTTTAATTGTTTTTTAGGCCTTATTTAAAAAAGAAAAAATTTCAAGAAATTCAAGTTTCTTGAGATCAAGACAAGAAATGCAGTGTCAAGAAATGTTCAAGATAAGAAAAACGTAATTTCTTATCTTGAAAATCAGGACAAAACAAGAAATGTTCTTCAAGACAAGAAATCTTGTCTTAGTGGAACACTATATGTTAGATATAACTTTTTCCCAACTTTCTGGTAATAAGTGGATCCCACGGCGAAAGAACGATTCTTCTTTAAAGGCTATTCAGTTAGAGACTCATTTTTCGACGCTTTCATAAGAGTTAAAGTGTTTCTCTGCAAGTGCGTGTGCCATCGACCGAAACAAGTGGTAGTTGGAAGGGGCACAGTCTGATGAATAAGCCGCATGGGTAGCACTTCCCAGCAAAGTGCTTCTAACGTTTCCTTAACGAGTTTTGTTAAGGTCGAGCGTTGTCATGAAGCAAGATCACTTTATGTTGTCTCGTTTCATATTCTGGTCGTTTTTCATGCAATGCTCAGCTCAAATAGATAATTTGTTCTCGGTAGAGATCCCCTGTAACTGTTTGAGCAGATTTCAACAGCTCACGGTACACCCTTCTGATCCCATCAAATACAGAGCATTGCCTTCTTTCCGTGGATATTCCGTTTTGGCGTCCATGTCGATGGTTGGCCTGGATCGCAAATGGTTTTTCGGCGTTTAGGGTTATCGAAATAGATTCACTTTTCATCACCAGTCACAATTCGGTGCAAAAATCCCTGTCTTTGTTGTCTAGCAAGCAGAATTTCGCAAGTGGTTTTTCGCCTTTCAATGTCTCTTAGCTTCAGTTCATTTGGGATCCATTTTCCTTCCTTTTAGATCTTTCCCAAGGCTTTCAAATGATCGGAAATAACAGTTCGAGCACAATTTAATGTTTCTGCAAGTTGTTTTTGCGTTTGACATTGGCCTTCCTCCACCAATGCCTGCAATTCTTCGTCTTCAAATGCTTTTGGCCGTCCTGAACGCTTTTTGTTCTCCACATCAAAATCATCACTTTGAAAGCGTCGAAACCATTATCTGTGCATGTTTCATCGGAAGGATCACTATCACTCTAAACTTCTACAAGCATTTGATGAACTTCAGCTGCAATTTTCTTCCATTTGAAGCAAAAGATTAACATTTCACGCAAATGACGCTTATTTGGCTCAAATGTCGACATTTTCGATGCAGTAAAAAGTAGTATTATTGATGCAAACGTACACTTTTATATACTGAATTTTATTGACAGATGGTAAAACTAAAAAATTAAGCTTGGTTTAGACTTTAGAGTCATGGACACTTCTACCTATAGCTACTCGCCGTTGGACAGAACTTTCCGACACACTTAATAATATATTATTTTGATTTAAATTCTAAAAACGATATATATATGTATAAAGTAATTATAAATAAAATTGTTCCTAATTTAAATAAAATATAAATAGTGGAACATATAGTTGTTTTGCACTCCCGCGAATAGAAAAAATTTTCTGTTGTGATTTTATGATAAGACACGTTGGAATTATTTATCGTTGATACATGATTGATAACTTTCTTTCCTTCTATTCTTTTTTGTATAATAAGGTATATGTATTTCCATTCCTTTATTGCAGTTATATATCAGGAGACGCGGTAGCGTCTCCCGTCAAGTATATGAGAAAAAAATTATATGAGGAATTATATGAGGAAAAAATAAAAAAAAATTATATGAGGAAAAAATCAATATGAGAAAAGGTGTCGATCGAAAGAGACGCTACAGCGTATCCTTTACAGGAAGGAGAACGCTTTTATAGTAAAAAGTTATTATTTTGTTTAAACAAATTGGTATTTTAAAAAAATGAATATATTGGGGATATATATAGATTTTTACAATTAAAATGAGATAATAATCACATCCGTAAGTGCACTGGATGCAGAGATATGAATATATGCATGCATTTTTCTGCCCGATTTATGTCATTCAGAAACGTCGTCGTCGTCGTCGTCGTCTTCGCTAGACTGCAAAATCTTGTCCCCTTTTACTACACCTTTTATCTACACTTCTAACACCTTTTATATATCTTTTCTACATATCTTCTGCACTTTTTTTCTACACTTTCTCTACACTTCTTTAACACTTTTTCTACACCTTTTCTGCACTTTTTTTTTTACACTTTTTCTACAACTTTTTACAACTTTTGTTTGTAAATCTTTTCTGCACTTTTTTTTACACTTTTTCTACAACTTTTTACATCTTTTCTACGTCTTTTCTGCATTTTTTCGACACCTTTTCTGTACTTTTTCTAATTGTACAAATCGAATGAGAACGCAATGAATGAGTTAATAGAAATTAGTCGATATGTAAATAACTTATATTCTATGTAAAAAATCATTACTTTTATTAATATGAATACAAAGTGTATTGTAATTAATAAGAACTTAACAAAAATTTGTGAAATCACTGAAAAAGACATCAAAAATGTAGAAAAAATGACCAAGTGTACTTTACAATACCTTTACATAAAATCATTTTATAATGTTCTCAATCATAATAAAAAGAATAAAAAAAATAATATTACGAAAAGAATGTAAAATAAAAATGCAATGTTTTCACGCAAATATATCAATGCAAAAACGAAATTATAAACAATAATGATTTATTCGTCACTGATATGTATTTGTTTATCACTTAATATTTAATAAATGGAGATTAGACGATATGAAATTATAAACTAGTATTTTAATTAAGTTTTGAAATAACGTTTTCGTATAATCTTTTTGTATTAAATATTAAATTATAAACAAATGGATATTGGTGGCGAATAAATTGTTGTGTCATTTTAATTTCCTAGCTTAATTAACAAATATTAGTGTATAATTTTGTTTTCGTATAATCTCTTTTTATTAAATATTAAATTATAAACAATATTAGTGACAATTAAGTTATAAATAAATAAATATCGATAATAAATAAATTGTTACATCATTATCATTGGTTTTCTATTAGTGTAATTATCATTTGTTTTTTATTAGTCTAAATCTTAATTATTATGAAAGAACAGTAAATTGAATGATTATAACTAGCTGCTGTATGTAAACCAATATTTCTCATAGAAAAGAACAAAGAAAAGCGAAATAGTAATTGGCACATATTAAATTAAATATACAATTTAGATAAATATTTTAATAGCTTAATTATTTTTAATTATTATCTTTCTTATTAATTTTTAAATATAAATACGAAATATTATTATTAGCAAGAACTTAGCAAAAATTCGTGAAATCCACAAGAAAAAGACATTAAAAATGTAAAAAAAAAAAAACTTCAAGTATATCATTATTGTAACAAGAACTTAGCAAAAATTCGTGAAATCTACCGCAAAAAGACATTAAAATGAGAAAACAAAATGTAATAGATAGCCTAATAAGAGGCGCAGAAATTGAAAAAGTATTTTTACCTCGATAACAAGTAGAAAATCATAGAGACAATTGAAATGAGCAAGATCTACAGCAACATACTTGACGCGCCCGTTTTGTTCATAATTGTAATTTTAGAATAAGAATTGTGTACACATCGAATATATATGTATATCCTTCCTTTTTATAATATATTGTTTTTATAAGAAATTTTATTTCATATCTTTATTTACATCTAGATTTATGATTTTAAATATTTTAACGACTCTTACATGTTCTTTGTTCTTATTATTGTTTTAAAATACAAGAGTTATTTACTATTTACTTATATTGTACTTATAGAATAAGAATTGTTAGGTTGAAATTTTAAATATTTTAATAAAATTAATATAATATTTTTCATTCTAATTCATTCTACTTATAAAAGGATATTAGTTAGAACATACTATACTATATGTAGACACCGTAATTTCAAAATATATTACAAGAAATATATATTGATATCAATTTCGCGTATAACTCGCTTTTAAATCTATGAGGTAATAAAGATATTTCCTAATCCGTAAACATGTCATGCATTGTTCTCAAAAATTTAAAAATTACTAAATACACATCAGATTTCATTTTTCATGAGAATCAAATACAATTTGATTAAAATCAATAATATTATATCGAATAACTACTAATAATACTATAATAAACTTCAGATTATATATACATATATATATATATTACTGAACAAAACGGGCGCGTCAAGTATGTTGCTGTAGATCTTGCTCATTTCGATTGTCTCTATGATTTTCTATTTGTTATTGAGGTAAAAATACTTTTTCAATTTCTGCGCCTCTTATTAGGCTATCTATTACATTTTGTTTTCTCATTTTAATGTCTTTTTGCGGTAGATTTCACGAATTTTTGCTAAGTTCTTGTTACAATAATGATATACTTGACGTTTTTTTTTTTTACATTTTTAATGTCTTTTTCCTGTGGTATGTATATATATACATATATACATATATATACACTTATTCTCGTAATCAATTATATACAACATAATTGATTACATATATACATATATATATATATAATTGATTACGAGAATAAATCTTAATGAATTATTTATTGATGAATTTCATCAAAATGCTAGAGAGAGAGAGAGCAAAATAAATAAGTTACTATAAGATTTCTATTTTACTACAACGATTTAATCCACTTTCATCAGATAATAATAGAAAAACGAAACTATACGATAATATTTATCTATTATTTGTAAAAAATATTACTTATTTATTAATTATTAGCTATAATTTTATTTTTACGCTATAGTCAAGTATGTGTCTGAGAAGGTTATTTCATTCACACCCTCAATTTGTACGGCCTCTATATTGATTTCTATTACTTGATTTATATTTCAAATCGTTCCAAGTAGTTGGACTCATTGTTACTATCGATTTCAATTAACCAAGTCACGTACATAAAACACATGCATATACACATATATACATATCCATCTAACAGCAATTTAGAGAGCAGTTATGACTTCCGTAATCATATGACGATAGAATGATAAGTTTGAGACCAATATTGATAATCTCATCGATTGTTAATATAAATTGACATTTCGTTTGCTACATGTTTAACATAATTATAATTAATATTGAATTTGTTTTACTTGTTGTCAGATATATCTATGAGAAGAGATTATGGAATATAATAGTCATTTATATATATATATTTTTTTTTTTCTTATGCTACTCGTACATATTATGTTGGCAAAAATTGAGCAACAGTTTTTTTGAGCAGGATCTGTCATTTCAACTAGAAAAAAAAAATTTTAAAAAAATAACAAAAATATAATAAAAATTCTGAAGATATCGTCATGATGTATACGAAGAAAATTTTATATTTAAAATTACTATAACGTGGTAGTAGTTGCAGACCATCATGTAATTATAAAATTTAAATGCTATAGCCATTTTTTTAAACAATGATGCAATATAATTTTTATATTCTCTCATAATAAACATTTTTATATTACAAAGGCAAAATTTGCTGAATAAAGTTAATACTGTAAAGATATAATAAGTAAAAATATACCTAATATTTTCTTTGCGTGCCATAGTAAAAATTATCCCTTTTCATGTTAAAATATGGCTCAAGCACTGGTTTAACAAAATTAACTGGTTTACTTCATTTGATAAAAGTTAGTGTTACCATAATAAAAGTTATGTCGGAATTATAAAGGTAAAGTTAATTTTAAATTTTACTATGTTGTATATTGTAATTTAGTCTATAAAGTTATGATGGTTTATCGAAAATACAAAAAAGAATAAAATGTAATTTAAAATTGTATTAAAACTTAATATAAAATTTTGTCCGTGTGTTTAGAAAAAATTTGTTTTATTATATTACATAAAGATATAAGATAATATGTAATAAAAAAGGTAATTCATAACGTGTTTAAATATTTTCTTAGTTTACTCTGTTCGTACATTCGCTTACATACCAAGAGTGAGTTAGGAATCTGTCGATTACTTCTGATGCAAAAAATATAACGTACATACAAAAATAGGTCATAATTATTATCTATATTCATTTAACACCAGATTTAAAACGATTTCTGCTTGTACATTAAAACATATTGTTTCATGTATTCCATGTATTTGTATTATATACATATATGTATTTAGTATATGCGCGCATACATGTACGTGTTTGCTGCGTGTGCTTATATTTGATTAATTGTTATAAGGCATAAGGCCGGAATTAAATACGTAAGTAAGCAAAATTTACAAGATTTAAAGGTGCTAATTTATGTCAAAAACTACATCATTATCATATTTCAACACATTTTTGGTTACTTATACTTTACTTTTGTAAAACATTAAAGGCTGAATATGACGTTTTCAAGATCTGAAAGAAAAATAGGACAAATTTTGACATATATGGAAGATTATGCATTTATTATGTAAAATTCCGACTGATGTTAACAATATTTGCGTACGTAGACGTCAAATATTGTTAACATCAAACAGCGTATCTTCATATTTTATTAACATAGTATGTCAAAAATTAATTTTGACATCAAATGATACTAACGTTACTGTAAAAGACTGTACAGTCTATCTCTAAAAATAAGAAAAACATTGATATTTAGAAGATTACGGATTTATGTGAAATCCGACTGTATTTTCGTACGTTTGCGACAAATATCAATAATATCAAGTAGTGACCCTCTAATAAGAGTCTGGACACGTGAAGTCCGCCATTATTCGTCGAAATTGTGCGAGAGAGAAAAAATCATGCTATCTCATTCTAGTGGCGCTGTAAGTTGTAGCTGATTGTAGCTCTACAAACTTCATAGTTTCTGTTTCTGTTTCGTCTCGCCTCATGCATCGTATCATTTTTAAGACCAGGACCATTAATATTCGAAGAAGAAGAAGAATCATTATGATTAATATTATTAT